AACCTAACCCTACATAAAATTTCTAACACGATACATACAGTGCATGTACAATCACATGCAAGCGTATACATGTGCACATACACGCGTGCGCGCGCACACACAGCATGTATAATGGTCTACAGAGCATGGCAGGGTCTTACCAGTTGTGTTATGGAGAGCAACAATTGTAAGGGCCCAGTATATGCTTGGCTGTGAGGTGGTGCCTGTTACCCAAATTAGAGTACAGCTTCATTCTCCAACATGGTGATGTAAGGAGAGGTTTCTCATGAAATTTACTGCTAGATGCATTCACTCCATTTACTCATTCACCCTTATCTTTAAAGACCGTTATTGAATGGTTCTGGGAAAAATCAGAAAGAAGGCATTTGACATTTATTCCAAAAAAAAAGCTAGAAATGAAAAAAAAAAAAAAAAGTGCTGAGAATACTTCCAAATTCCATTATACATTCTCTTGCTTTCTTCAATGATGGTTATATGTGTAAATTCTATGTGATTTAGTCTTTGGCTGATCATCTTTCCACTTTGAGTAAAAAATGAACAGCAGAAAAACACTGGCTTCAGGATTCAAGACACAGGAATTCTAATCCAGCCATCCCAGCTGGGTGTGACCTGAGAACCTGGTTCCTCGACTAGAATATAGGGCCGGTTCCAGGGCTACCTCACAACGTAGAGATGATGGCCAGGAGTGCATGGCACCGTGGCTAAGATGGTAGACAACTTTTTGTAAGTTTTTTTCTCTCCATGTTCTCACGATGTCTGGATTCCTGCTATTTGAGTTTCTTCTTAAGTAAGTAACCTTTTCCCTTTGCCCACAATCAACAACCTCCAAATCTTTTAAAATTTGTTGCTTTCAATATGCTGTAAATTAGGCAACTATGCCTTTGAAAAAAATTGTCTAAAAGTATAAAGAATAATTATGTTGTGGACAAGGGCTTAGGCATTCCTCCCATAAGCACAGTAATCACTGGTTAAATAAGATAACATACAGTACATGAAGGTGTTATTCGAATTAAAAAGTGGCTTTATTATTTTGCAATGCTATTTTGGTATTTGGAGTCCATTTATTTTCTAATGAGCTGTATGCTGCATCCAGAGTAGCTAAGGATTGTTCTTTTGATTGACCTTGACATATATATTTAAACCTTTATTATTTTCCCCTGAAGCTTAATAAGTCAGCACAGTATATGAAGGTCCAGAGGCAGTAAACAGTGGGCAGTTTCACTGGAAGACAGATTCTTCCAAAGAAGCAACAGTGGATGGCAGTGGCAGCACTGAGTGAACTTTCAAGTAGTACCTGATATCAGGCAGAAGACTTTGCAGTGGTTCTCAACCTTCTGGCCCTTTAAATACAGTTCCTCATGTTGTGACCCAACCATAACATTATTTTCGTTGCTACTTCATAACTAATGTTGCTACTGTTATGAATCGTAATGTAAATATCTGATATGCAGGATGGTCTTAGGCGACCCCTGTGAAAGGGTCGTTCGATTGCCAAAGGGGTCACGACCCACAGGTTGAGAACCGCTGCTCTAGGCAATGGGAGAGGACAAAAAGGTTATGAGTAGGAGGGTGCCATTCCTGGTCTTAAGGAAAATTAATAGGATAGAGATGGTCAGGAAAGAGAAAGGGAACCTGGGGGGTACCTATTAGCCCATTATCACCAAGAAAGCCTAAGCATGTTGGCTTGGGGAAAGAAGGTAAAAGGAAAGAAACTGGGTCAAACAGTTCTGAGTCTTACCTGATTGAAACATCTGTCATGCACCAACATGGAAACTACATAGGCAAGTCAGACGGAGAGTGAGGGTCTGAGGGAGTTGAGGAGAATGGATTCAATCAGACACATATCGAGGTGGTAACTGTACATCAGATCTAGTATGGTCCCTATAACATCATTCATCATTTTCTTGGACCAAGTCGCCAAATCAAATCAAAAGCACGTGAACAGAAAACAAATTAATTTTCAGTGGCTGCCAATGTAAATGAAGTCTACGGTCACACCCCTAATTACAGATACTTTCCCCAGTGTAATCCCACTCTAGTTCCTATGTGAAGACTACCCTGGTATGGTAAGATCCTTATGAATAAGTATTTCTCATGTGAACATGCCAAGGGGAGTTAGAAATCCTTTGATCACCAAAAACCAGAACAGATACTGATTTGTCGAGTCAGTGGGCTAACATTCCCCAGGTGTCCCCTGCTGCTAAGTGCCATCCAGTGGCCCACAAGCGACTTAACAACTTCTTTGTTAAACTGCTTGTTAACAAGAAGGTGCAGGTCACACATACCCAGGGCAAGTTACTCTACTTCTTCTAGGCTAAACATGCAGGCGAATTAAATTTAACTACAGGCTCATTTGGTAGCAGGGAAACTTGTAACACTTCCATTCTTCTCAATACACAAAATAAAATCCTTATGGATGCACATGTCTTCTTGCTTATGATGTCCTTAACTTAAAAAAAAAAAAAAAAAAAGCCCTAGACCTATAAAAGGCGTAGGCTAGCAAAATGACTACAATGATCTCTTTAAAATTTTCACATACCCAAAGAGCATTCAATGCCTATGGCCTGCGAAAGACCAAAGTCACTACTAACAGAGCACAACCCAATTTTACTTACGCTGAAATGAACTGTAAAGATAACTTGAATAAAGGGTAAATATATTTTGTATAAAAAATAAAAGTAAAAACATAACGAAGGTATCTGAAGATACCGCTTAGGAACCATCATCCCTTTACCAACACTACTTGGTACTAGCAATCAGTGGCACGAGGCCAGGTGTCCTTTGGCATTTTCTGTGTTTTCCAGGTAAACGTCCATCCAACTGGTACATTTTCCCAACAACTGAGTGGCCTGCCATGCAGCATCCAATTGCCAAGAAGCTATCCATTTTTCCAAGAGGAAATGTGGGCCCTGCAGGGTGTCCAAGCATCCTAATTTCATGCACAAACACATTCCACGACAGTAAGACAGATTGCTGAACAAAAGGAGGAAACACGATGACAAAGCGTGGTCCCCTGCCAGAGCGACGCTTTCGGGGCCAGGTTATTTGGCTGTAAACCGGCCTAGGAAGACCAAACCCCCAACGCATGCGGCGGTGTGAGGCGCGCCACGCCAGGCACGGTTCCAATGGGCTCATTATGTGCTCCGTAATGGGGAGGGGGACGCAGGTCTTTTCTTAAGACCGTGTTCCAGTCAGTCTCCTATTGATTTTCTGAATTGCTATTTTCAACCGCGGCCCAAGGAAACGGCAGCCAGACTTGACTCCAATGTACACAGAGACTCGGGTTTCACCCTGTCACCTGTTGGCTTCTGAACAACACTCCTCTTTGTGAAACGCACAGCACTCATTTGAAACAAGTTTCCAGAGAAAACACTTCAAGAAAGTGTTTGAGAAGTCACAAGACTCGAGTTGTAAAAACAAATTCCACACATAGCCTGGTGTATACTGACAGAGATGAATGTGGAAACCCGAGCTTTTGAAAAAAGGGGGTCACAGGAGGGGAGCCGGGGGAGAAAGGATGCCACCCTTCTTCAGGGAAAATTCAGCGGCGGCTGTCGAGGATCCGCGGGGTCCACCCCACGCCCGCGTCGGAAGACACTTTGGAGCAGGCGTCGGCGCCCCCTGCGCCCCGCGACTCCGACCCTCCGTGCGGCGGTGGCGGCTCGAGCCGCCAGGGGGCGCCCCGGGCCGCGGGTCGCGTCGGTCCCCCGGCTCCCTCCCGGTTTCCGCGGCCTCCCGCACCCGGAGGCCGAGCTCAAGACCCAGCGGATGCGAGTGAACCCCTTCCCAGGCGCCGACGCGAGACCCACCGAGAAGAGTGGCCCGGTCTCCGGGGCTGGAGTCGCCTTCGAACCCCCTTACCCGTCTCCGGAGGAAAGCCTCGCGCCGCCTCCCGGCGTAGGTCCCCTCCGAGGAAGAAACGCGCCCCGCGGCTGGACGGTGGTACCGAGTGGCCCGGGGCCCCCAACTTCGGAGGAGAGGCCTCCTCCCCGTGGGCGCACACCGACGCGCGCCCCCCTGCAGCCCGCGGCGACCAGTCCACGCCGCCCGATGCCACCCAGCCCCGGACCCAGACAGCGGTCCCCACCTGCGGCCGCGGGCAGCGGGGCCAAGCGCGGCCTGCAGCCCCTCGGGGCTCCCGCCCCGGCCCGCGGGTTCCCGAGCCCCTCGGCGAGCACTCGCCGCCCACCCGCCCTGCGACCGGCCGAGGCTGGCGGCCGGCGCGCGGTGCCCCTTGGAGGAGAACAGGGCAGGGTGCCCTCCGGGTCACCCTCGCCCACCCATTTCCGGAGGAGACCCTAGCAGGGAGGGAGCAGCGAGTGCCGGGCCCCCATTAAACCAGGGCGGGCCGCGCCCCCCATCAGGGCGCGCGCCTGGCCCCGCCCGGCGGGCGAGGGGGTCGCCCCCGCCCCCGCCCCGCCGTGACGCACTCTCCCCGGCCTGTCCTCGCCGAGCCCACTTTCGGTGCAACGCGGCGATTCTCACCCCCGCAGTCCGCAACCGATCGTGGGGGGTCGGCAAAAGGTCCTCCTGCTCCCCGGAGACCCTCTGTCCCCGCCGGCGTCGCCAGCTCTGCTCCCCGGGTTAGAGTCGCCTCGTCCAGGCCACCGCATCCCCCAAGTCCCAGCGCTGCGCCTCCCCGGGATCCTCCACCGCGGAGAGAAAAACCCCGACTCCGCTCCGCTCGGGGGCCCGCCTGGGACCGATCTTCAAAAGTAACCAGAGCCCGCAGGAAAAAAAGTAACCATTTCGCTTCCTGCCGGTCCCACCCTCGGCGGAGCGCAGCGGGCCGACCGCCCGGCTCGCGATGCCAGGCTGGCTCGGTTCCCCGCGCCGGTCCGCAGGAGGCGCCTGCCCAACCTGATCTCGCCGCCGCCCTCTTTCCAGGAACTGTCACTGCTGACCGTGCCCCTGGCAGGTCTCCACGAGGTCCTGCGAGCACGATATTCCTCGAAAAGCTTCCCACCCACTTGGCCCAGCCTCGCGGCTCCAGCACCTACCTCGGTCCATCCGCTCCATGGCCGCGAGCCCTACTGAGCGGAGCAGCGGAGAGGCAAGTCCCCCAAGACGCTTATGTAAACTCCCCCTCCCGCAGGTGCACGCGCGGACCACAGCGCGCCAGGAGAATATGCAAAACCACCTCTTACAGAAATCATCTCCGCTCGGCCCATAACAATGATGTCAGCAAATGGCACGCTGAACCGAGTTCTCCCTAGGAAGGGCTCATTAACATATGAATTCTCCCCGTAGGACTTCTCTTGCATTTCGAAGCGATGCCTACTGCTTAGCGCAGGAGATTTATTTTTATCAGTAAATAACAACAAGAGAAAAGGAGCCAGGTCACGGGATGCACTTAATCAAGTACCTGACTGAGAGTTCTTATAAGTAGGTTAAGTGAATATCATTATTCGAACACCAGAGCCTGCCTGCCCCACACGTAAGGCTAATCTTGGTTCTCAGCTATTTCTAGGTACACCATGAGAAAGTGCAGCTTGGCATTAGGTGTTCACAGAAAGGGCCAAGAAAAGCAAAAACGGAACCTCAAAGCAAGCCCAGAAAGAAGTGATAAATATTTGCAGCAGAGGTCTGAATCTCTTCTCAACGACAGATTTTAATTTCTGCAATAGCCTCCTTATCACATGGTGATAAAAGGAAATGGGGAGAAGAGGAGGCAATATTTAATAGCTTTGCCATTTCATAAAAGGCTAGCAAATAAAAGCAACTTAAAACGGTCAAATTCCTTCAGTAGCCTACTTTTTTATTTTTAACTTTTTTGGTTAGGTAAAAGAAAAGAACCTGTACCATCAGGTTTCCTTGGGAGTAGTTTGCAACATATATGTTCCTACAGTACACCACTGAACAATAGCTCATTGTAACTGTGATTTAAAAATACACAAACAAGTTGCCATAAATAGAGCAGTCAAGTAAATAACTCTGGCCAATTTCTGTTATCTCTGCTGGAGAAGATGCTTTTTGTTTTGTTACCTTTTTAAAGTGGCAGAGATTAAAAAAAAAAAAAAAAAGGAAGGAAGAAAGTTGTGGCTCTGCTGGTAGGCTAGCTTGGAAACACTGTCTGAGACAACGGGATTTGAAATTCAAATTGACTCTCTGTTGGGCAGTATACATTCTAGTTTTTGAAGACAGTTCCCAAACAGCTCTAAGATAGAGCTCCTCCAGCCTTCAGATAGTGTGGGGATTTGTGGGAGGGCGGGGAGAGGACTTCAAAGGGCCTCTGTGGAGCTGTGAAATTAACATGAATACCTAGGTTAGATCTCCTTTTTCCTGCTTCATTCTGTTTGGGCTTCCTCCAGGAAGTCACCAATTGACAGTATCTATTGGACAAATGTGCAATCAGTTATTGATATAAACCAAACTCTCTCTTGTCATTATGGTAAAGGGACGCCAATGGTTTAAGCACGCCAATGGTTTAAGCCAGGTGGATCCTTTTTGAAACAGCTTTTGAAGGAGGGTGACACACAGTAGCCAAGGCTACAGAACCTTCCCAACTACAAACTGTAGCAACACTTCTCAGTATTAAATGCCAGCCATTGTAAGTGCTTCCTCTAACACAATTACTTATAAATACTGTTTGCTGCATTTTCAACAGGTACTGTCAGCTTTATTGCTTTCGTAACTCTTTGGATGATGAAGCAGTTTGGAGACAGTTAAAAGCTTCCAGCTAATGTTCAATCTGAATACAACAGCCCATGTAGTCTGGTCTGAAAGGCACTGTTTTTGTCAAGGGTGAATTTACAGGATGGAGAGCAAGGACCCCCACCAGCACCTTTTTGTTTCAGCCAGGTGGGAATATTCATTGCTTGCAACTCACACTTTAAGGGAGGCTGGGAAAGGAAAGAAATTCACAGGACTTGGTTCTCTCACCCCATCCTGGTCTCTACTCTACTCTCACCTCCTCAGAGAGGCCTTCTCCAACCCTCTCAACCCCAAATATCATCCCTCCTTCTTGTTGCTATTTATCTTCATAGAACTTAGCTTTGCTTCAGGTCTGTGTGTTCATGTTTGCTGTCTCTCTCCTCTGCTAAAAAGTGGGGATTTTGGAGATTCACTCCTGTATTCTCAGCACCTAAAATCATGCTAGGCACATAGCAGGACAAGTTCAATTAACAGGCATTAAGTGAATGAATGATTTTGGACATTCTACTCAGGCCCTCACAACTATACTATACCTGTATAGATAACTCCATTTCTAATCTAAACCCAGACTGAACTGCAATGTCCTATGGGAGGAGACTGTGATAGAAAAACAGAGAAATGCCAAGGGCATTTGTTTGTCAAATGCCAGCCAGCTTTATTGGGTCTGGAAGAGAGAGGTAAGTACGAAATATAAAGTACAACATATACTGGTGCTATTCCTTGGTTCACCTGTGATTTGTATATGGTGACCTTGAGGTCGGCTCCGTACCTTTTTTTTTTTTTTTTTTTTCCAGGTGTAAAGCAGACCTGCTTTCTAGTTTTAAGAGTCAGAGTTGTTCTTGGTCTCAGACATTTGGAAGGATTTGTAAGTAATTGCCAGCCATCTAGGAAGAGCCTATTTAAATGATTGGATGTCATTAAGTTTCTTAATACAGAAGAGAGGTCAAGGATTCTAACAGTCATTGAATGACATCTCACTCACTGAGTCTGAGGGCCAGTCGGCATATATAATGTTAAGTAGGGTGCCAGCTTGAGTCTTCAGCGAAGGCATAGTCTAGGACTGCCTACATAGAGATAGGTGACTAAGAAGTGCAAATACACCTGTATGTAGGATGTAATTTCTAATTAAAATGGCTTTAAATTTTTTCTTTAAATCACAAAATCATACAATTTTAGAGTTGCCAACAACCTATATCTGGTCCAGATAAAGAAATGAGATCCAGAGAATTAATTGTAATAATTCTTTTATATATATATATATATATATATATATATATATATACAGTATTAATTTTTTACAGAGAGGAAGGGAAAGGGATAGAGAGTTAGAAACATTGATGAGAGAGAAACATCGATTAGCCGCCTCCTGCACACTCCCCACTGGAGATATGCCCGCAACCAAGGCACATGCCCTTGACCGGAATCGAACCCAGGACCCTTGAGTCCGCAGGCCGATGCTCTATCCACTGAGCCAAACCTGTTAGGGCTGTAATAATTCTTTATGCTTGTTACCAAGTTTGGTACCACTGACAGTTTATGTAAAATGCTTTTCTTTCTTGTTAATTTTAAACATGTCTGTTGTACCTCCAATTGGGCCCTACACCCTGCCGGTCACTGAACATTTTAAATTCTCGTTACCAGTATCTGAGCCTGTAGCTCCCCCAGGAAGGGCCCCAAGGCAGGTGTCAGCTCTTCCCGGAGCGAACAGGCATGATGGTGTTTTATCATAGGTTGCAGTTTCTCTAGGTCTCCAATTATTTTCTTTCCCCTTTGATTATATTTAAAGCAATGTGATTAGAGAGTACTGGTTCTTTAACATTTTCTACACCCAATCCCTCTGTAGACTTACTACTCCAACCCTCCCAGCCATCGTCCCCTCCCCCGTCTCCAACCTCTTCTGAAGTGAGTGAGCAAATCCTCCCTTCAAAGTACCCTGATGCGTTGGGTTTGGAGTTAGGAGATTTAAATGTCTATTTTCTGTCAATTACTAGCTCTGTGACACTGGGATAAATCACTTCTCTAAGGTATTAGTGTTGTTTTTTGGTTTGTTTTTCATTTCTAAAAAGGAAATGGGCTAGGTCAATGGTTATAACTTCTGAGGAGGAAACACAATCCATATCTCAACTAAAATAGAAATCTTAATATAGAAACAGCTGAAAGTGAAACTGCTCTGTTGAAGCTCTGCTTGGGTTTCTCGCAGACTTCCCCCACAACTCCCATCCTCTCATCCTCCATTCTCCCAAGGTGACCTTCAGGCTCTTCCATCTGAAACTAGACGCTGCCAGAGGCTCCACCAGCTCTAATATTTTCGGAGTCTTTTAAAACTCAATAGCTGGTATGACACTGATATCAGATAGGTGCTCACGGCTGTGCTGTGTTGAGTCTGCAGCCCACGCTGGGTGGGAGAATATGGTATCAGGTCCTTTTGTTCAAGGTTATAACTTTTAGTATCATTTGACAGCCATCTTTGCCCACCTCACTCCTCTGTCCCAACTATTTTGACTCCTTCCCCACCCAGGAAATGTTTGTTACTTTTCATGGACAAATAATTAAACTAGTGTTCAAGCATCTTGACCTTGAGTTCTTCAACTTTTTCCAACTCCTGTAGAGATCTGTGGCTTAACATAAACATTCTTAAGACTATACTGCTGAAAAACTGCCAAAACATTAAGAAATGAAGAATAATTCTTCCAATAAACATTGGGAGATCGATTCATGAAAAGATATCCAAGATATGTTAAGATGCAAAATATATAGTATGATCACATTGTTATAACTAATAATATATAAGCTAGTATACACATAGAAAAACTATTTAGAGGTATATAAATAGTAGACAAGTAATACAGCTTCTAGGGGAAGGCAGATTATAAGAAACTATTACTTTTGAATTTACATTTGTAAAATAAATGTATTTTCATATTTTCACACCATTTATAACCTTTTTATTTTTATAATGATCATGTAGGACTTTTGTAAACAGTTTAAAAAACAATAAAGGAAACAGACTACAATATTAACATAAGAAAGGAAAGTTTGGAAGCAGAAAGTGACGTTCTTGATTTAAGTATTTGTGGATATGGGAAAATACATAGTTCTCCCTGCTATCTTCCTCCCAGGTTCAAACTTGAAGAGAGAAATCTCTGCTGCATTTATTTACAATACTTGAGAAGGGGGTGTCACTGGTCCCATATTTCCATGGAGCCAGACAGACATATTGGAGCAGGAGCTGCTCCAACTGATGCCGCATGTACCCATTCATTGATTCACTAGCAGATTCTTTGGTTGAGTCCAAAAGTATTTGTTGGAGGACAGCACTATTAGACCTAGACGCTCCCCTTAACTAAAGATGACCTATTCTAAATTTCATATCCTATTTATATCTTGATTTATTCCAAAAAAAAGCATAGGAAAATATACAGGATGAGTGGAAAAAATAAATGATTCTATTTTCTGCAATACATAACAATGATGTGCTGTGATTATACAACAGTTTCGGTGTGGCTAAACTTCTAATACAGAAATAATGGGAAATGTTGACCAATTGATTCTGGTTAGAAGGTGAGGATCAAGGAAGTGTGAAGGTGAGGTGACATTTAAACTGGAACCTTTATAGATTTAAAGTGGGTGATCAGGGAAATTAAGGGAGTTGGGATAGGGAACAGGGCTGAGTCCAGGTTGAGCCCATCAAAGCTTGATATCTAAGAGAGTGAGCAGCTCTTAGTAAGCCCATGGTAATGTGGTGTGAGGACTGAGAGGGAGGAGGGAAGAGGGGATTGGGGGTGGGAGGCTAGAGACAGTACTAAAAGAAAGCAGTGCCAGGCTGTGAATGGCTGCACAAGTCTCTTAGCTATTCTAGGGGCTGTGGAAAGCCACAGAAGCTTGAGCAAAGAGTGACATGATTGTATCTATGCCCTAATTAGAGGGAGGGTAGACAGAACAGTGCAGGGCAACCAGATGGGAAGAGCTTGGATGCTGCCTCAGTAGGCAAGGGTAGGAAAGACAAGACAGTGTGTCTGAGGGTGAATACACCGAACTGTGGAAGCCCAGAGTGGATGGGGGGTGGGGGACACCAGATGGGATGCCGACATTCCTCAATGAGGCAGCATTCCCATAGTTTCCTTGAAAGACAACCAAGAGTTCAGCCCTGATGTGAGCTCTCACTTGAAACCGCAAATATTTTTCACTGTCCACGGGAGACAAACTCAAGGTAACCTGAAGGATTTTTGTTTTTAAGCTCAACGTTGATCTTCCTGTCGGTATTTAAAATCAGTATTTAAAACATGGTTTCAGCGTGTGGAATCTCGGAGGGAAGGCTTGGGAGGGTGGATGGGTGGAAGGTGATCAACCAAAGAACTTATGTGCATATATGCATAACCCATGGACACAGACAATAAGGTGGTGAAGGTCTGGGGTGGGAAGCCAGGGCGGGGGGCCAATGGGTGGGTGGGTGGGGGGGAAGGGGACATATGTAATACTTTCAACAATAAAGATTTAAAAATAAATAAATAAAATATGTTTTTTTATGTCCTGTTGTGTTTAAGAGCACATTATAAAACAGAAACAGGTGCGTGGTTTTCAGGTTGGAAGATAATCTATGTGAAAGGACTACCCAAGAGATCAAAATGGCATTGGAAAGTTATTGTGTTCAGTGGGAATCTACCACCTAACAGTTAGTGTTTATGCAAACCATTAAGTAATAAATATTGCTCTGTCTTAAAGTGTAATATTATACAATATTCATTGCTTTATTTCATGAACTACGTGCTCAAAGCTATTTTGCTCACTTGTGTGTTTGCTTGTGCACCTTAAACTCCGCACCATTAAGCTGGTTGATTCTCCACGAGGGAAAATCTGGGCTGACAAAGGCACACCAGCTCTTACCACGGCCACTGTGCGCTGTGACTACTCAAGGTGTCCTCAGAGAGGTGTCAGCAAAGAATGATTCGAGTCGGCCAAAAGCCTCTTGCCCCAAAGAAAAAGGTCAGCACAGCTTTCCATAACATTTCTTTATCTTATCTAAGATCCCAAGTCCCTTTCTGCAACCGTGGGAATGGAAAGGAGGTGGTTTTGTAGTGGAGACTGGCTTACAAGCTTTAATTAGATTGGGTCAGGGCCAAGATTTGGAATTCAAATTGTTCTGTCGGTCTTGAGCCACATAGTTCTAGATGAGTAACAGTTGTTGGTATAAGTCTTCATATTTCCTTTCTCCTCTTTGCTTGCAGCGTCAGTCTCTTCAACCGTGCACTGAATTATAGAGGGGCTGAGGGCAGGGATCACGTCTGTCTTGTTTTGTGACCTATCCCAAGTGCGGAGACACACAGGCCTGGTACATAGGGGATCCTCAGTGAGTGTTTGTTGAGTGGTGAAGATGGTTTGGTTCCCATTGATCTTCCACAGAACCTGTCTCAGATGTTGCACAAACGAAGCACTCCTATTTATATCTTAATTATCAGTCCATTGATTGGTTTTTCTTCATTTTTATTTGGACTTTTTACAAAGTGAGTCAACTAATTTGAGGTTCAATTTTCAAGTGTTAATGTTAAAAGAAATCTCATCAAATTTATCATTTAGGTCATTTGTTCTTTTTGGCTGATAAGATCTGCTATGAACTCAAACTAATTGGCTAACTTGAACTCTCTTTAGAAAGCTCACATTTCGAAATCACGTTCTCCATCCACCTCCAAATCAATATCCTCCTCCCTCCTCTGTTCCCTGGTCTGTACACGGTACCACCCACTAAGCCAGAAACTGATCATCACAGAGGTTTTCTTCAC